ATTTAACTGGATGTCCCATATTTTATTGGCAACTCTATTTGGGTAGCTTCCTATTTCAGAGGGAAATGTTGGCGCAGAACTTTATCTTTAGCCCAGCTTTATTGAGATGTAACTGACATATAACGTAAGTTTAAAGTGTACAGTGTGATGATTTGATACATGGATATATTGTGAAATGTTTACCACAATAAGGTTAGTTCACCCACCCTTCAGTTCACACAATTACTATGTTGTTGCTGTGATGGGGAGAACAGTAAAGCTCTACTCTCTTAGCAACTTTCAAGTATACAATACAGTGTTGTTAACTGGAGTGCCATGCTGTACATTACTTCCTTGGAACTTATTCATCTTATAACTTAAAATTTGTACCGCTTGACCAAATTTTCCCATTTTCGCCACCATTCAGCCTCTGGTAACCACCATTCTACATTCTGTTTCTGTGAGTTCAGTGTTTTTAGGTTCCACATATAAGTGATAACATACGGTATTCATCTTTCTCTGTCTGAAAGGTGAATTATGCTCATTTCACTTAGCATAATATCCTCAAAGTCCATTCCTGCTGTCACAAATGGCAGGATTTTTACATAAAGTGATTTCTTAATTAGAAATCAAAATATTTTAGTTAATGCAGTGATCCATGTGGATTTCTGTTAATAACCTCTTTCTAAAGTTCAGAAGTGTTTCAGAGAAAAAGAAAATGACTCGGTCCAAAATGTAATCTCAGCTGCTATGGAAGACAGAAGGCAGCTAATCCAACTTCCACTTCAGACCAGAGGCAGAAGCCATGCGCTGTCTTCCTTCCTTCATGTGATTGGCTATGGCGAAAGCATTGGCTGTTCTTTTCTTTTTTTTTTTTTTAATTTTTGAATCTTATTTTATTTATTTTTTATACCGCAGGTTCTTATTAGTTATCTATTTTATGATATTAGTGTATATATGTCAATCCCAATCTCCCAATCCATTGGCTGTTCTAATGAGCGAGGACACAGGTCATGCTCCTCAGGGAATGATCCAAGCACATGCTCATTACCTCCCAAATCTGTGTACACAGGAGTTGCACAAAGCAATATTCAGAAGGGAGTTGATGCTCCAGCAGGAAGCCAGCCCTAGGCACAGAGACCAGCACTTGTAATTTAAGATGAGCTGTGGGAGGATGGGAATGGGAACTCTGAGAACAAGGGGAAGATGTGAGATAATTTACTCAATTTGTTTTCCTGGAAATGAAGACTTTATGTCAAGAATTTGTAATAAAACTAACTGAGGCACTCACACTCAGCTCCATAAAGTGCTTAATCACCTTGTTGTTCTCTAACAGCGTTTTTCTTTATGGGAGAATTTACCAGCTTTTTAATCTCCTTTATTTGATTAACATTAGAATCAACAATAGCAACCAGTGTTGGGTTTCAGTAAAGTGTTGTATTTGCAAACTTATTAAGGAAGATAGATTTTTTTAAACATCTTTATTGGAGTATAATTGCTTTACAATGATGTGTTAGTTTCTGCGTTATGACAAAGTGAGTCAGCTATACATATACATATGTTCTCATATCTCTTCCCTCTTGTGTCTCCCTCCCACCCTCCCTATCCCACCCCTCTAGGTGGTCACAAAGCACCGAGCTGATCCCCCTGTGCTATGCGACTGCTTCCCACTACCTGTCTATTTTACATTTGGTAGGAAGATAGATTTTTTTAGGGCCTCATCTATAACAGTCTCAAGCCTTAATTAGCAAATCATGCTTTTAAAGTTTTACGTTCTTAGGGGAAAAAAGACGGAATCTATAGTAACTTGAGGAGGGAAAGCACTACAATAAGTAGTCATCATTGTTCTAAGACATTTTTATGGAGGAAAATACATTATTACAATCTATCTTTTTCTGACTTCAGATCTCTTTTTCCTTCTTATAACATTAATTTAGAAGAAACACAAAGTTAATTCTTTTTTTTTTAAAGGCTCATTAATGACTTTTTCCCAAGTACAGTAGTTTGGACATACTCATAAGAAGTGATCAGAACTATGTATGGGTAGAAGGTCTTTAGATTTAATCAAAAATCCTGTGAGCAGAATCTTAGTCCACAGGTATTTGAGCTGAAGCAGGTCCTGCAAACACTTGCTGGACGCTGCGGATGAATGGATTCAGTGTTTTGGGGACAATGGGGCCCCAGAGACACCACATCCTACTCAGCCCCAGCCCCCATAGTCACTTGATTTTCAGAATTCTCAGCCTCAATGCTCTCTTAGCCCACCTACCTTTTTCACCCCACTTCTCTTAAACACCTTCTTTTCTCCTGCTGTTATCTATGGGGAGTTTCCAAACACACATCCAGAATCATGCAGATCTGAGGTGAAGTTTTCACTAGTCTGCATCAGTGAAGGAGAGGCAAAGAGACACATCCAGTAAGATTTTTGTTAAGATAGTCCTATTCCAAAATTATTATGATCTTCCTTCTTTTTCTGTCTTCCTTCCTTTTCTTTCTTCCTTCCTTTTTGATGTTAAATTATCTCTGCTCGTATAAAACAGTAGTGGCAGTTAATTTTGTTTTGTTAATGATATCCTTAATTCAGAGAATAAATGTTGCTCACCCTATGTTGGTCACTCCGTATTTATATGCTCCTTTGTATATTAGTCTGTGTGTGTTCAAATTCAATAGTCTGTGAAGCTCAAATCATTTCAAAGCCATGGTGTACTTGTTTCCATCATGTTTCAAAAGATGGTGTCCTGGACTGGCAGACAACTTGGTACAATGAAAAGCACAGAAGGTTCTGGAGTCTCACAGACAGGGTCTGTGCTTGGAACTGAACCTGGTTCTTGTGGCCCCTGAGCAGGCACTAAGCTCTCTGAGCTCAAGCTTCACTTTCCATACAAAGAGGGTGATAACAGCTACCTCAGAGAGTTGTCAGAAGATGAACACTTCTAACTTAATGTATAATATAGTGAATGCTGAAAGAATGTTGATTCCCTGGACTTCTGTGCCTCTTTTTGTCCCCCCTACTCAGCACTTGGAGAAATAGATTAAAAAACGCTCAGTACACAAATCAGAAATAAGAAAATGCAAGACTCTGACGCTAGCAAGTGTCCACAGTTAAAATAGTGAGTGAAGGAAGCATTGGCAGAGAGACTAGTTGGAAATTGCAGAGTTGGGTAGGGTTAATTCTGGAAGACTCTTTCCAGGATTGAGGTGAGTTTTGAAGCCCGTTGAGTATGAAGAAGTCTTTTTTTTTAATTGAAGTATAGTTGATTTACAATATTATATTAGTTTCAGGTGTACAACGTAGTGATTCAGATTTGTTATAGATTGTACTCTAATTAATAACTTATTACAAAGTAATGGTTATATTTCTCTGTGCTGTATTCTTGTTGCTTATTTACTTTATGCATAGTAGTTTGCATCTCTTAGTCCCCTACCACTATCTTACACCACCCCTCCTCCCCTTTCCCCCCGGTAACCACTAATTTGTTCTCTGTTTCTGTGAGTCTCTTTCTGTTTTGTTTTATACATTTGCTTGCTTTCTTTTTTTAGATTCCACAAGCATAAAGAAATCTCACACAGAGATGGTGTATTGGACAGCAGCTAATCCTACGTTCACCAATGTAGGATTACGTTGGGACATATCTTAGGGACATATCTTAGGGACATATCTCACTAAGGATATGAGTGATGTTTTATATGGTACAGAGGCATTAAACAATGTGTAGTCACACTGTTAGAGTTATTCCCCATCCAACTCTTTCAATTCTTCTGACTACATCAAGAAGAAAGTCTCAGTTTGTACTAGACTATCTTTAACATTTCTCTAATACTTAATAACCCATTTTAACAAAGAATTTCAGGCTTCAGGATCACAGCCATTGAGAAGCAAGAAATATCTAAATGATTAAAAACGTTTTATTTTCATTGTCTTTATTTTTCCCATTCCCTTCTGCTTAAATTTTATTTCATTCACATTGATGATATAAAAAAATTTAAGTAGATTTAAATGTTAAAGGGAAGTAAATTTAAAGCATTAAGGTAATAATGTAGGTGGTACACAGCAAGGGCAACCAATCTTAACAGTGGCCCAATAATGAGCAAAATTTAGAAAACACTGATCAGGCCCGTTTCTCTCATAAGGAAACGGATGAGTAAAATGAGATTCAGAGAAAAGAAGTTACTCTTTTCCAAGATCACATAGCTAGCTATCCTTAGGACTGAAGTTCAGTCCTTCTGTGCCGCTGTTCATTTATCTAACTCTGCATCAGACAAACTCTAGGGTTAAACTGAAGATAATTGGATATAAAATAAAAACAGACTATGTGTTGAAGGTTGTTGGGAAGGGACTGGTTGAAGAGGCTTATGAGTGTTATAAGGGAGACTTCGTGAAGGCAGACTTGTATAGAACCTGATGCTGGAGTGCATCAAGTCTAAGGCAATTCCCGAGGGTGTTGTGACAGCGATTCCTCTTGGAATCCAGCAGAGATGGCTTGAATCCCAACTTCTCCACTTGGCAAGATACCAGTGTACACCTCTCAGCTCATCTGTACAGATTTATAGGAATGATGATAGCTAACATTTATGGGGCACGTCATCTGCCAAGCCCAATGTGATGCATTATCTCACTTAACCTTCAAAAGAAGACAGAAAGCAGCTATTATTACCCTCATAAGATAGCTGAGGACATCTACAGCTAAACCAGCAACGGAGTAGAATTCAAGCCCAAGCAGTTTCAGTCCAGAGTCTGACCTTAACCACAATCCTATTCTGTGAAAATTAAACACAAACAAGGGCTGCAAAGCACCTAGCCAGGTGCCTGGCACATAGGCGGCAAAATGCCTTTCAACCCTCCCTCTCTGCCCATGCAGTAGTGCTAGTCACATCCTACTTGGCATCCAGAACCTTCTCTGCAGAGGCCTAGCCAGGGACTACAACTCCCAGGATGCACCAGGCAGAGAAACTGGCCAATCAGGAAGCCCGGTCTCACTTCCACTGCCGGCTCTCCCCACTTAGCGGCCAGAACTTTGGTAACGGCTGGCGCGGTAGGTACGGACGGGGTTAGTGTTGTGGGCTGCCCAGAGTTACCAGATTTTAAATAATCTTAATTCAGTTTTGGTGTGTGGGCTGGAGGTGAAGACCGTTGACATGTCCAGGCTGCCTCAGGTTGCATCTTCAGCCGCCAAGAGGGGCGGGTCGCCAGGTCTCCTAGCCCGTGGCTAAGAGCCCGGTTTCCTCAAAGGCATCGTCATCTGTCGGGTCGAGAAGGAGCGGTTGTCTGGGCGGCTCCAGGGAGGGCCGGTGGTCAAGGCTGCTGAGCACGTTTCACGTTATCTTGATAGGTTTGGGAGCCTGAGGACTGCGGAAACTTCGAGGTTGCCTCTGGCTCCATCTTCAGGCCCCAGCCTGTGGCCGCCTAAGGCGTGGGGCTCCTCACGCGTGTCACGCTGAGGAGGAGGACTTGGCCTTCAGAAGGAAAATTTAAGGGATAATAATCGCTCCTCAGGGGGAGGGCCTGGCCTCCTGGCCTCCGGCCCTGGGTTATTGCCTAAGCTGCGTTCCTGCCTTCAGTCTGTGGTATCGTGGCCTCCGACCCCCTATTCCCTTGGCCCCCGAGCCTGGTCTCCACTACCCACCTCCTGGGGAAGCACTGTTTGACCAGCCTCTCCTTTCTCTGAGTGATATCCTGACCGAGCTCCCTGGGGAAGGCTTGACCAGCTCTGGCCTCGCTCTGGTCCACTAGGGTCCCCTTGCCACTCTGGCCTCTGACCCCACCCCACCTACGGGCACCTGAGGGCCCTGGATAACCTGACCCCAGAGTGGAGAGGGTCAACTTTCTTGGGCATTTCTCCATCCATTTAGTTTCTACTTACCTCTTGGTTTTTACTTGTATTTTATTTTTACCTTCATATCTTTAAGGTTCTTTAATCCCCACCCTACCTCCTTTATTTTTTTTATCATCTTTCCTTTCTCCTCAAACCTGTGTCTTTGGCTTTGCCATGCCCAAGTAAGATAGCTGCCATTCCATTTTCAGTGCCTAGGGGCTTGTAGGTGGATGCGAAGTGTAGTTTTTTCATTGTCTGGAGATGAAAAAAATGTATTTCCTTTACAGTGGCTCTGAAGTGAGTGAAATAGGATAAATACCCCTGACTCAGGAAAAGGCAGAGGCAAGGAATTGATTTCAAGGTTAGTTTGTTTTCAATTTTTGGACAAGCAGCCTCACGCGTAACTGCCCACCTTCTGGAGCTGTGTGCACTAATTGTGGTTTATTCAAGTTATTTCGAGATATTTGAATGGCTAAGGTTAGTTTCTAGTGAATCACCTAGAAACATCTCTCTATATTTTTATCTGACACAATTGGCTAAATATATGTACTTTATATATAACATAGTACCACGTTGATTTACACATTTCAGCTAAATTAAAACGTGTGTTGCCCTAAATCCCAAAGCTAAAATAGAAGTGGCCATGTTGCCATCTTTGTAGTCAAGGAATTATAATCAAATCTTATTTTAAGCTTTACTATGTACTTAAAGAAACCATGTACGGACCCTGTCATTCAAGCATAAGCTAGAAAAAGATGCTGACTTACATAAACAAAATTAGAGAAGATCTTATATGAAATTGCTAAATTGTAAGGTAGTTTATAAGTGCTGAGGCTTTCTGAAACGGGGACATCTGCATTTCCATTGTAAGGGCCCCACCTTGTGGATATGGTTTGATTAAAGAAGACACCTCATCCTAAGAATTCCAGTTACAGGTGTTTTCAGTTGGAAAAATATTAAGTTGATTCCTTCGTATGTTAGAATTCTAGCCATTATAGTCTCTCTAAAGAGACTATAATTTCACAAATATTTTAGTTCTGAAATAACAGATTTTTCCTTTCAGAAATGCTGAAAATTTAAGTATTTTTAAAGTATACACAAATACTCCTGATTTATACATTGTTTTTGTTTCTCTTTTAAAATCAGATGTCTGACAATAATGTTACCAACCATAAGCTAACTGTGGAAGCCATAATTAAAAATATTAACACAATTTCTTTGGACTTGAAGAAAATGAAAGGTAAGTATGGAATCACTGGATTAAAATGTTTGCATGTCATTGTTATAAAATAAATAGTAGAGTCAATTTGTGCTTCTGCTGGGGCAAAACTGAATTTTGCCAACTAATTAGGATTTTTCTATTTCTTAAGAAATGCTTACACTGTAATATGAACTAGATCTCTGAAGATGCATTATGTTTGAGCATTGACCTGGACGTTAGCAGATTTGAATTTTCATCCCTGAATCCCTTAATCATTACTAAGCCCCTAAAGTTCCCTCCAAGTCAAAACTTGTAAGTTTGCTTGATTGTGTGAATTAATGGTTCTAGTAGGATTAGATCTTATAGGTTATGATGTTTAGTCACTCCCCTTAGAGACAAATTCTGTATTTTTATCCCAGGCATGTAAAATTTCCGTGAGTGAATATTTCACCTATTCTTGACCAAACATTTCCTATGTTGGGAAACTCTCTATATCACCAATCTATTCCATCTTAGACAATTCCTCTTCATGGACTAGCTGAAATCTTTTTCCCTATTTCTTTCATCCATTGGTCCTATTTCTAACCATGAAAACCACTGAATATGTAGTGGTTATTCTTATGAAAACCTTTGGTATTTGAAGACAGTCTCTGTGTCAGTTATGAGACCTTCCTACAAGTAACAAAATACCAATTTAACATGGCTTATACAATATGGAAGATAATAAGAAGATTCCAAGGTTGGGCAGCCCTAAAGCTAACTAAGAGTTTTAAAGACTTCATCAGGTACTAGGTTCTTTCCATATTTCTGCTCTGTTATGTTCACTCTGTTTGTCACTTCTCATGGTCATTACCTGCGGACATGACCATATACAGACACTGTCTTTGCCTGTGTCTCTTTTTTTTTTTGCGGTATGCGGGCCTCTCACTGCTGTGGCCTCTCCCGTTGCGGAGCACAGGCTCCGGACATGCAGGCTCAGCAGCCGTGGCTCACGGGCCCAGCCGCTCCGCGGCATGTGGGATCTTCCCGGACCGGGGCACGAACCCGTGTCCCCTGCATCGGCAGGTGGACTCTCAACCTCTGCGCCACCAGGGAAGCCCTGCCTGTGTCTCTTATATAAGCCTTTCTCCAGATCCCTCCAGCGCATTTCCCCTTTCCTTTCTTTGGCCAGATTTGTGCCACATGTGTATCCTACAGCAGCCACCACCAAGGGGAACAGAACAATTTGGACCAGTCAGGACTTACTGCTGGTGCTGGGGAAAGAATCACCTCGAGTGCAATCAAGTTGTGCCCCCAGGAAGAAGAGGGGAGTGGCTGTTACTTAGGCACGGAATAGCGAGTGCCTGTTATGCTTTTCCTATGTGTTCTCCCAAGCATTTCCCAGACTTTGATCTGAGAACACTGCTGTCTCAGAAGATGTTAGTAGATGGTGTGCAATAGAAACGGAGTCCATCAACGGATGATCAGATAAGTTTGGGAAGGGCTTTATGCTATATACTTCTCTCACAAATTCACAGTACATACTAAGAGAGGCTGTGAGGAGCCTGATATAAAGGAATCGGGTTAGCTCTGCTTAATTCATCATCTCTCAAAACCAATCTAAACACTATGGCAAGGATTAGGTTTCTAAAATGTAAATCTGCTGAAAATGCTCGTTGGCTCACCATTGTCCTCAGAATAAAGTCCAGACCTCCTAGAATGGACTGTAAGACCTTGAGATCAGGCCCTGCCTACCTCTCCCGTCTGTTACCTCATTCTTTATTCCCTGCACGTCCTGTGTTCCAGTCACATTGAACTATCTGCATATCTACACGTTTGCTCCTTTTTGTGCCCGTGCCTTAACACCTCCTCCTGCAATGCCTACTCTTGCACCCCTACCTCCACCGCACCAGGTTAACTGCTACTTATTAGTCAAGGTTGCTTACAGTGGAAAACTTTTTTTTAAACCAGTATATCATCTCTTCTACCTTTTCATATTACCTATCACACTGTATTGTAATTGAATGTCTACTTACTTTTCTTATCCCTGCTCATCTATAAGCTCCTTAAGGGTATTCCTAAGCACTTAACACAGTGCCTTTATATAATAGGCTCTTGAAAAATATTGATTAAATGAATAATTGGTTCCGGATGCTTGCACTTATGTAAAACAATTACAGAAGCTTTAGATTCTTCTCAAACTTTATTATCTAACTGTTCTGGTTTGGGAATTATTCTTTCGTGAAGTAAAATAAAATAAATATGATCAATGTGTTTCTGAAAAGTTGTGGGGTAGGGCAGGCAGTGAAGATACAAGACTTGTAGAGCTAGACTAGGAAGGTAGACTTCTGGTAAACAGGGAAGATTAAACGAACACTGTTACCCCCACTTTCTCCCAAAAGTAATAATATCAATAGCTAACACTTATAGCATTTACCGTAATCCAGATACTCTTCCAAGAGCTCTACATAAATGGACTCAATCGTCATAACAACCTTATGAGGTAGGAAATAATACCATTGGCACTTACAGATACAGAAACAGATATAGAGAGGTTAACTAACTTTCCCAGAGTTACACAACTAGTCACTGGTAGACCTGAGATTTAAATTTAAAGTCCTACAAGTTGAGGGAAAGAGTAGTACTAAAAACAAGGGTCTTAAGACAAAGTTTACATATTGAGTTACAAGACCCACAGTGGGGAAACCCACTTGGCTACAAGACATTGGCAGCCAGATTTATACCCTCAAGCAGATTTTTCTTTCAGGAATCAGACCAGCCTAAGAGAAAAGACCTAAAGATACTGATAGCAGAGGTTCCTCCAACAAAACACCCAACCAGATCACCCCACAATATAGACCACCATGGGCAAAGAACTTCCAATTGTCTTTTTAGTACCATAGTCTTAAATACGAGCAGACAAGTATGGAAAACAGATATTTGAGGAAAGCATCTAATGGGAAAAGCAGAGACAAAACCAATAAATAGATTCAATCAACGGGGAAGAAACAGATTAAACTCCAAGAAGCTATCATTAATATCCACAGAGAAGTAGGAGAAGATGCTATGTTCATGAAAAAGGAACAGGATACTATAAAAAACATTTAGAGAACAAAGTTAAAAATGTGGCATAGAAATAAACTCTGGAGAAGGGTTTAAGGATAAAATGAAGAAAATTCGAGTGTAGAGCAAAAATACAGACAAGGAAGTCCAACATCCAATAAATAGGAGTTCTAGAAAGAAAGAACATAGACAATGGATGGGGAGGAAGTCATTAAAGAAATAATCCGAGAAAAATTTCCAGAGCTGAAGGATATGACTTTTTACAATGAAAGAGCCCATCACAGTAGATTGAAAATAGACCCATACTAAAAAACAATAGTACAAAATTTCAGAACACTGGAAGAAAAAAAGATTCTTAAATCTTCTAAAGAGAAACAATGATTAAGAATTAGAATTGTATGAAATTTCTCCATAGAAACACTGGAAGCTAAAAGAAAATGCAGCAATGCCTTTGGAAATCTGAAGAAACATGATGTCCAACCTAGATTTCTGTAGCCAGTCAATCTATTAAGCATTGGTATAGAGAGAGAAATTTTCAGACATAAATTTCCCCACCTCAGGAAGTTACCTAGGTTGCATTCCACAAAACAAAGGAGTAGACCAAAAAAAGAGAGACCTGAGATTCTGGAAAAATATATTCCACATAAGGGAGGGGTGAAAGGAGACCCTAGGATAATGGTGAAGGGAGTTCCCAAGATGTGAGCTGTACAGCAGTGCTAGAGAGCTGTCAGTCCAGACTAGAGCTGATCAGACAGCTCTAGGAGAGGAGAGGCTTTCAACAATAGAATAGTCAAGGCACTTGACTATACTGAGAGGAGATTTACCCAACTGCAGAAATTTGGGATATATTCAGGATAATTAAGCAATGAAAAAAGGAAACAATTATTAACTGTGGTTAAGTGGTAGCTTGCAGGAAGGGAAACATGTAAGACTCAGCTGTAAAGATTATATAATCAAGAAAAATGTAAACATTAAATATTGAGCTAAGAAAAATTGTTCCTCAAGTCCAGTGGGGGAATGGGTATAAGTGAAAAGAGCTATATCTTAATCTTCTGTGGTCAGAAGCAAATAGATAATACCTAAAATTGAAAAAGAAATATGCATGCCATTTAGAGATATGGAGGTTAAATACCACCCCTCCCAAAACAAACAAACAAACACAGAATAGAACCACAAAAGCAACAAAAACAAAATGGGCTCCAAAAAAGTTAAAAGTCGTTGCCTCTGGGAGAATAGGAGCTGCTATTTTTTGCAACATGCCTTATTTGATTCTTTATACTATGTGCGTGTATAACAGATAAAAATAGTAATTTAAAAAATACATAAATCAAATTGCAATTTAGTTAAGATAACTGACAATTTGAGCTAAAGAGCCCTTCTAGTAAGTTTCTATATCATGCTTATTTTGTAGTATATAAATTTGACTCTAAGTCAAAATTGGGCACATCTAAATTGTGGTTTGAGCAATAATCGCTTAAAAGAAAGCTAAATTAAGAATTAGGAAATAACTCCTTAAAGTAATAATAGTTGCCTATGACATATGTGCTACAATATAATGTCTTCTATTATTTTGTTTTACACAGAGCTCTCCCAGTTACTGCTTTGTGACCTTACCCTATGTTTTAGTCATCCTGTGAAGACGGATGATTTAAAGGAAACAGAAAGAAACAACCCCCTCTTTGAAGAGTCTAAAATGTCAGATGTATCTCTTGCTTCTAACAGTTTTTTAATCTGATATTTATTTGTTGTGAATTCATAACTTTTTATTGTTGAATTAACACATACCTAGGAGAATTGAGTTTACTAATATATTTAATATAATAAAAAACAAAAATATGTTCAGTTGTAAAGAATCATTTCATGCTCTTGAAGGCTGTTATTTTCTTGTTTTAATGTTTCAAGGAATGGCTAATTTATTTCATTAATGGCAAGAGTATGACATAGGAAATTGGCCATGAGGCACTGCTTATCCTTTACCCTATGCTCGAATTTGGCTTAGGTTGAAAGAGAGTTACTAAATTATAAATGTATGGTATGGCTTTATATTAATCAGATCTCTCCTGGTAGCAAGTGCCAAAAGCAACTCAAGCTAGCTGAAGCATTTATTGGGTCATGTGACTTGGAAGTCCATGGTTGGGATAGATTTCAGGGCCTCCACTAATCCATCAGATGTCTCTATCCTGGTTCTGTTTCCTTACATTGGCCTCATCCTCTCCTATTAAAAGCTGATTTCCTCCATATGCCAGGTAGAAGGGTGTAGAGGTATGGTAGACAACTCCAGGTGTACAGCATTATCTTTTGGGGATCCCAGAGGAAAGAGATCTTCTCTGTCTCAGTGTTTAACATTCCAGAGAAAGATCCTGATTGGCCCAGCTTTGATTAAGATGGGTCCTGAGCAGCTGTGTTTGGTGAGGCTGGTATCATATGCCAGGGTCTGTAGCAAAGGAGAGACCCCACCAAAAGAACAGAGTTGCCATGGCCTGAAGAAGGGGAGAAAGAATGCTAGTCATAAAAACATCAGATACCACTCATTTCAGTCACTGAAGTGGAATAGGTTTTAGTTTTAGGATACCTTTATTCTAAAACTTCCTAATTTCTGTCCCTTTCCACCAACGAAAACTTAAACTAATAAGCGTTTACCTTGTAAACATAATTCACTACTATATAGTTGCTTTGAATTCTACCATGTCCTTCATTTTAGATAATTTTGAACATAAAGTATAGAATACCATGAAGCAAGACACAAGGTCAGCAGAACTTGTAGTGTTTTCTATCCTTATTACCCAGCACCTAGCTCAGTGCACAGAATAGGCATGACATAAACGCTTGTTGAATATCCTATTGAATAAACAGGTAAATGAATGCAAGATTTTCAGCTCTAGAATTCCTGAGTTCTGGACCCTAATTTGAGAATTTCCAGTTTCTAAGGATGAAGTTTTGTGAAGCATCCTTTTTATCATCATTGATTAAAAGTCTCCACATGCTCATTATCTTAGCAAATCGTGCCAGTGGTCTTTCTATTCGCTCATGAAAGTGAAGATGCGAGATATTCTTTGTGACTCAGAAAACTCCTAGGTTAAACAGAGAAGCCAAATATTTTTGTTAATAAAAGTTTTGGGGACTTCCCTGGTGGCGCAGTGGTTAAGAATCCACCTGCCAACGCAGAGGACACGGGTTCAAGCCCTGGTCCGGGAAGATCCCACATGCCGCGGAGCAACTAAGCCCGTGCGCCATAACTACTGAGCCTGTGCTCTAGAGCCTGCGGGCCACAACTACTGAGCCCGCGTGCCACAACTACTGAAGCCTGTGTGACACAACTACTGAAGCCCGCATGCCTAGAGCCCATGCTTCACAACAAGAGAAGCCACTGCAATGAGAAGCCCGCACACTGCAACAAAGAGAAGCCCCCACTCACTGCAACTAGAGGAAGCCTGCGCGCAGCAACTAAGACCCAACGCCGCCAAAAATAAGTAAATAAATTAATTATTTTTAAAAAAAGTTTTGGAATAACAACGAAGGCCTCAAAGGGGAAAACTTAACTAAATGCGAGGTTTTCATTTTGTGAAATGCCTACTACTTTTTGTTAAATGAGATATGTAGGTTGAAGGAAAGAAGTGAATTGCTTTGAAGAATTTATAAAGCCTTTTGGGGAAGGGTGAAGAGAGGGCTTTATGACAGTTGTCAGGGGGATAAAAATAGAAAAAAGGTATCTAATTGGAAAGTCTGATCAAATTTTTCCATGTATATATACATTGCTTTTTCATCTTCCCAGGAAGATTTTGGTAAAAATCTACATCACTTGATGATGCTTTTGGAGTTGGGTAGGGGTGGAGGAGGTAGGGTGTGGGTGTCGGTTGTGATGAAATTAAATCCGGGTGTATATGACACCAAAGCCTCATCTCTAAATTTAAAATGTTTTCTTTTGGTATTTGTCACTTAAATTTGCTTTAAAACAGAAAAATAATAGTGTGAATGAAATAAAGTCAACAAAGTTGTTTTAGGAACCAAAAAGTGAAGCAAAAGGCAAATTAATTTTAATTCCAGGAAGTTATCCCAACTGCAGTTATCTTTTTCATTAAAAAAGTATACAAAAATCCCCCCAGCAAAAACACCAAATAAGTATGAAACACTTTTGAAGCCTCTTAAATTATTGCTCTTGAGAAATTAACTTTTAGTAATTTTCAAATTATACATATAAAACTGATGATTGCTTTGAATGGTAAAGGATTGGCTATTTAAAAAATCAGTTTTACGTGTTACCAAAAACTGATAACTGAATTACCATTTCAGTGTTTCGAAACTTACCCCAAGTTGTTTCTGTAGGTATGTAAACTACTGTATGTGGAAATGGGTGTTCAAATACACATCTTTTTAAAATGAATTATTACAGTGCACTACTAGACTTCAAGTGTGAACATTATTACTCATGCACTTTGCAAATATTGAAGAAGAATAAATATATTATGGGATCTTTGACAGTCTTCATTTCAAACACTTTCTTAAGGGAAAGGACAAAACCTTTGTGTTGGTGTTGAGGGGTTCAAATCGTCCCTGAGTGTTTGATGGTTCACCAAGGTTGATTGATCTTCCCAGGCTGGGACAGAGGCAGGAGGAAGGTTCATTTGCTTGGCTAACTTGCTAGGGATAACCTGCAGAATACGTTAATGTGCACTGGTATCTGGAACCTCGGTTCTTCCCATCAATGAGCAGAAGTGGCATTTTCCTGAAGTAGTCGATAATATCTGACACAGACAGAAAGTCCTGAAAGATTCAAAATAGGGAGATAAATCAACATTGGAATAGGTAGTGTGAATTTCACTCTCAGTTTTTTTTATCTGCATAATATCCTACCTCTTGAAGTATGAGGATTATGGGGAAAAAACATGTAAACTTTGGCAAATATTTTAATGATTTCTGCTATAGAACTTTGAAAAAAATAATTCCTCACCAATATCCAGCAAACCTTGGATAAAAGACAAATATGTATTTAGGTATATATATTTTTAACCTCATATAGGAAATTATATATATTATAGAGATAGAGAGAGGGAGAGAGGGAGACAGGGAGAGTCTAATTATGATAGCCTTACCTTAGGATCGTTCTATCTATGGCTTGGTTTTGGTTTTTGTATCCCTACTTTACTCTAAATCACGAACAGTGTTAGGAGGTATAAGGAATCAGGAAGTCAGACAGCATTGCCGGTGTCTGAAGATGCATAATAGTTCCTTTGTGATCTCTGCCGTGTCCCCACTGCCACCTCCACACTCACTTGCTCTGTAGCAAGTCTTTGCATTCATTACCTGGATCACCCTATCCCTGATGGTCAGACTGGGAAACCCCCATCCATCCATCTAGATATGGGTCAGAGGTCACTTGGTACCCCAGACAGAGTTATGCACTTCCTCCAAGACTACTCTGCTAGGTGCCTCCCTCCAGGGCAACTGCAATGAGTGGTTTGTATTTGTGTGTTTCCACACTAGACCAATAGAAGTCCTGGAGGGCAAACATCTGTGCTTCTATAGGACCTATGCAGCTCTACCCATGCTGAACCAGTGATTCAAACATGTGACCAAAATCATGTGGGGTTTTTTTTCTACTGGTTTACATTACCATAACTTAAAAATATTTGGAGTGAAGTGGAAGTTATGGGTATGTTGTTTCTCATTCTGGAAATGTTTGATTCAGCTGATCCTCCTCCTGGAAATTTGAACTTAAAGAACATGTTTGGGACATTAAGTTTAGCTATAGTTTCCTTTGCAAAAAGCAGCCGGGAAAGGTTTCCTTCACACCAGTTGTGTTAACTACCCCAAAAGCGACTAGCATAGACCTTGGAAAAATAGAGGAAAATGTCTTTGGCAATCTGGCCACCTTCATTGGCCTTACTTCCATTTTTCGTAAGCAGTGACCCAAGTCATTTTTCCAGATGTCCATTTAAGACACAGCCCTATAAATACACTGTAATCTTACGTTAAAATTATTAAGTCACAGGGGTGACTTAATTCACCTCTGTGTCACAGAAGGGACTTGCCTTTGGCACCGTCTAACTGGATTTTTAAAAATTTAAATGCTAACATACATATATTTTTAAAGTTACACATGTGATTTTAGACTATTTGGAATAAAAGATATAAGTAGCAGAGGTAGATACTGTTACCTTTTTATTTCCTTCCAGTAAATGAAGGGCTTCACCAATGTGACTTAACTCTAAAGTTGCCAGGCAGTATGGACCCCAAAAGAATGCTACAGCAAGGTTCCATGTAGGTAGTATGCAGAGAGGCATAAATAGAGAACTGGGGGAAATTTTACAACTACAAGTCCTTACCTCTTTCCCTCGGAGTCCAGTTCCCAACAAGTAAACTTGGCTTTCCTCCTGATAACGGATCTGGATGTTGTAAACTTTCTCTTTGTACAACACCATGAGGACGTATGGATTGGTTATTGTTTTTCTAGAGCTGTCTCTAACCAGGAAAGTGCCATCCTAAAAGGATAAATTCTTGTTATTATGGGAGCAGCAAAAGTCAATACTCCTGTTGCCTGTGAGAGCAGTAGACAAGCCTCTAGGGATCTGAGAACCTACCAGTTGACAATTTAGTGAACATTTCGTTCCCCAAACAGCTGCAGTCCCATGTGGCATGGATTTCTTGGTTGTCAAGAAAGAGGCAGCAGAGATTATGTTAGAGAAATCTCCAAATTTCAAAGAGACCTCTTTGAAGTCTCTTGATGAAAAAGGAATCTCTTTTTCAGTAATAAAACAAATGACAGATGGTTGAGTGGATAAAGGGCCAGCAAAATAAGGACTTTATTGGTTAACTAAAGATATATCTTCCTACT